AAATAATATATTTTTGGAGGTCATGAATTTTTTTTAGAAATCCACGAGTTCAATTCATAGTACTTTTGAAAAGAGGTTATTTTTTTAACCAATGGAGTTAGCGGTATGTTAACAGAGGAATCAAAATAGAATAATATTGATAGTTTTAGGGTTGATGTCTAACGTTTTAAAGTTAATGGACTAATTTACAATATAGTTGTAATTTAGGGAATGATATAGAACGTTTTAAACTATATAGACCAACTTAGAATGGGGTCGTAGTTTAGGATCTTTTGTTCAATAATCTCTAATATAAGTCAAATAATTTGTTAAGAGTTTTGGATTTGGGTTTTGAAATTGGACAACTCTCAAATATATCAATGCATGGGATGGGATGTACTAGCTGTCAATTTTTATGGTTCAATTACATATTAAATCCCTAATAACCCTGGAATCAGTTTAATTAAATGCTTATAAACTGTTTTGGTTTGATTACTTTTTAGGACCAGAAATTAATAGAATTCAGTCTTACCCTTAAATTTCCTAGTTTAATTTACTCTAGGGTCCTATCAGTTCTGTAAATCAAAAAAAAAATCTTGACACCGTAACTTTTTTTTGGTTTATTGTCTAAGACCCTAGCAGATTCGAAGATAACCAACTTCGACCCCTTAATTACATACTGGTTCTACCCCGAATATACATAAACGCGCGCGCACACATATATATATATACACTCCATGTGATCTGTCTCTCTCCCCATGTGAATTAATGCATTCATCTGCAACTCTCCCATCCTTCACAGCAAAAAACAATTAATGAATGTTTTCACGTGGAAACCCTGCAATATATATAAAAGTTATGATCTCCTCCTCCTCAACTAGGACTAGGAGTATACAATAACCAATACAGAAGTAGTTAAAATTTGTGATACTTGAAAATCAAATTTATGAAGGTAATTAATACACAACCGGGGGGTAGCCCTATACTTCTTCTGCCAGCAATAATAACGCTAGTTCCTCCTTGAAACTCATCTTGCTTTCGAGTTTGATCGTACCTTCACCTTCCTCATTCGGTCATCGCCTGCTCTTTGATGATGGCCACTGAGCCGTTTGTTTGCATGCGATTCGTGACCGGAACTAAAGACTTGTCGCACGCGCAAAGATGGCTGGTATGGCAGTATGATTACTTGCACTAAACCCAGCAGAAGGTCATTAAATGGACCAGTTCCTCTCACTGTACTACTTTCTTTCTGTGTTTTCTGCAGCTTGTCGCGTCTCTTTACTTAATGCCTGCAGCCTCATCTCATAGGAGAGTGGGAGGTGCTCTTGCGAAATTGTGGTTTGTGGTTGTGCCTCGAGATTGTGGATATACGAACGTTATAACTAATTTATTTTTCAAAAATAACTATGTTTTTGTGTTGTGGGTGCAATTGTGATGTCGCAACGATCTTAAAAAAAACATTACGACAGAACAGTTACATTATGTTGCGGCCACAATTTAATATTGTTTTTGCGCTTTCAATTTTTAATCTAATATTATTTTAAATCTCTATAGTTTTGTAAAATTAGACTTTCATCTCTTCTAATTTTTTAAATTAAATATTTAATAAGTCTGTATTATTTTAAACTTAGATCGTTTGCATATTCTAATATTAATCATCGTGCATTAATACTAAATATTAAAATAGGGGTTTAGCGTCTTCGTATATATTCAAGTAAGAGTGATATTTTTGAACTAAATCCTAACCTTTTAAAAACATTTTCAAGTACGAGTTCTCATTTTGAGCATGTTCAAAAACATTAAATACTTATTTGATATTTAAAAAATGTTAATTTCTTTTTGACAAATTAAACACTTTTTTGAATAGATTTAAAAAATAATAGATTCTTATCTCACCATTTTAAATCGAATTCAAAATTTTTAGAGAAATTACTATTCTCTTTTATCACTGAAACCACTTGATGAGTTTCATAGTGATAAGAATCTATTATTTTTAAAAAATAATTAGGTATGTGTACGTTGTAATTATCTCAGACTATTTAAAAAATTAGGTTGCCTTAACCCCTCATAGATGGTAAAATTGTGAATTTAATCCCTTTAAATTTTGAAGTATAAAAGATAAGATAATGTTATGGTTACATTTTAAAACATATATGATAACATTTTAGTTTAATCATTTTCAAATTTATAAAACTAAACAATGATAAAATCATAACTTTTTTTTTTTTGGATAAATTCATTATTTTATTATTCAAGAGAGCAACCCTTGTGCTACTGCAAAGAGTAACATATAGCAGTCAAAAACGATGAAATTAGATATATTTTTATAAAAAAACAAAATTAAAAATATATATAATGAATTAATACAATAATTCATAGGTTGATTTAGCATCTATATCTAATTTACTCGATTTTACTTAAACGCACGAGAGATGACGATGAAATTCGAATGGGTTCGACAAAAGGTAGAGTTTGGTGATGTTTGACAAGGGCATGTGACTGAAGAAATTCTGGGGAAAAAGAAGAAGCAAAAGAAGAACAATAATGGCTTTTGCTTTTCTTCCTAGCAATAGGATTAGGAAGGACCACTTGTATGATGGCTTTGTCTTTGATATCCCCATTTGCTAGACTCTCCTTTGTCAATAAGTAGCTGTAGCTGCCTCGGCTTTACAAATGAATGGTTATGCTGCCTATCCTTCACATATTTGTTTTTGTTCATGGACACTAAGTGGGGTAGTGGTTCGTGATGGTTGTGAGTTTGAGGTTTACGGTTTAATATGTCTATTGTGAGTGAAGAGTCAAATAATCTCACCATAGTGAGATACCCGCTTAAGGACAGTTTGTTGGACGAATGTAGACATCTCATTTAGAGGCATTTGTATGATTACCTTAACACCAGTGTTCCTAATGGTATCTTCGTCGGTATCTCATTAACTAACATCCCAAAAAAGGCATCTCATCTAGATGTATTTCTCTCGTATTTGTGTGGAATCTAGAGTCATCTCATTATGTTCTCAATAGTAGAGATCATAATGGTTCATCATTTTTGATTCAAACAAACAATAATAAAAATAAAATCTCTTATCTCACGGGTTAGAGGCTTCGGTCAAGGAGTTTCTCTCCTTACAGAGATAAAGATATCTTATTTAGAGGCATCTATGGGTGTCCTTAGCACCAATCTACTAGTGGGAGGAGACATCTCATTTAGAGACATCCACAAGCATCCTTAACACCAATATAGCAACTGGAATCACGAGCATCTTCATGATTTAAATATAAGGCTTTGAGCGAAATGATCTACGACACTAGGATCATCGGTTTTTCTTTAGAGGGATTACGTAATTTATACTTTCTGATTCGAGTAGACAACTGTCAATTTTCGCTTTACAACTTTAAACATTTTAATCTCAATTTTACTTTATCTTTAGAGGGATCGACAATATTGTTTCTAGCAGTTCATTTCAATGTTTATGTAACTTACCCTTTCTTATTTAGAAAGAGAACTACGTGTAGTAAATATAACTTTAAATAGCAAATTTCTTACGCATCTTTTAATGGATATATGTAAAAATATTTTATTACTCTGATTATATATTTAGGGTCTTATTTTTCAATTTTGGGTGAGATATAGATAAATAATTTTATGATAGAACATCAATTTTACGTATACACTAGAGGGTGCCTCTAGGGTACAGTTCCCTCATAAAGATAATCATAGTATTGATAACTGTTACATGATAATCATAGTATTGATAACTGTTACATGAGTATGACATTAAAATTTTCACATCACCTTTTATACATAAAATTTCTGAAGTTGTTTATTGTTATCTATTTTTGGTGCCGTATGACAATTTAATATACGGTTAAGAAAATGTATTATCGAAAATATTATTATTTTTTAATATTTTTCGGTAAAACGTTACTTAAAATATTATTTTTCTACCGGAAATATTAATTTCACTATTTAAAAACCGGTAGAAAAATAACATTTTAGGTAACACCAATATTAATATTTCCGGTAGAAAAATAATGTTTTAGGTAACGTTTTACCAGAAATATTAAAAAATAACAATATTTTCGATAACTTCTTTCCTTAGCCGTATATTAAGATTACCGTATAAAGATCCTTTTTTTGAGATCTCTGTTCCACTCATATCTTGTATGCTTAAAATTCTTTATCTTTTTTGTTACCCGACAAGGGCTTCTCAATTTGGGTTCATTTCCCCCTTCATGAAATTGGCATGTTAGCCTCTATATTTCTCATCACAAAATATCCTATTGAAATTGCTTATTTTGCACTCTTAACTTTTAGTATATGTTTTCTTCTTCTTAAATTTATGGCTTCCAGTTTCATCTTAATGTCATCTCTTACCTCTTCTAAAAGTAAGGTTTGATCGAAGCATACTATGGTGTGGTTCTAAAAATATTTTTCAGAAAGACACATGTATTAATAATAATTTTTTTGTATGAGGTGAATATAAATAAAAATTTTAAGATACTATCATCAGTAAAATGAATAATTAACATAAAAAATCAAATTTCAAGATTAATACATATTGACCCTGATAAACATTTATATCAATCAATGATGTGATATGTCACATAGTTGTAATTATCATTTAAGTCAATTTTCTTAAATAAAGATACAAATACTAAAAATATCAAAATTAGACTAAGACGGAATTTACAAATTATATATAATGCAAATACTAATAGCAAAATTTATAAACTAAAAATTCATTCATTACCCTCATTATTACCATTTTCTAACAAAGCTTCCTTGAAATAGTTCCATCTAAGTTACATTCATCACCCATTTAACATTCTTTCCACTAAAATATTGTAAGATCAAAAGTAAAACAAAATTACTACAAAATTGTGTTGGATAATATATTTAATCAACCACATATAGTTACCAAATTCTCAGCACCGTTAATTTCCAACAGTATTTTTTTTTTGGCAAGTTGCAAGCAAATCAAACCTTTAAGATAGTGGAATTCATTTAACCCAATTATCTGTATTTTGAACACTTTTTACTTTAATTTCCTTGTGGACTTAGATTTCTTCATCTTGCCAGACTTATCCACATTGGTCCAACTATATCCACTAGGAATAGCAAAAGGATCCTCTAGTTGCGCCGCCCGCTGCCGCTGTTGCTGCTTGCTACTCGATGCTGATTGACTATTGTTTCGCCTCAACCATGCCGTCGTTGATGATGACCACGACAAAGACGGCAATGATGAAGTATGTTTATCTGACTTCTGATCCTCCTCTGTTTGGTCTCTTCCAACTCCTTCGTTGGAGAAATATCTAGGACTCGAGAGGGGGGTGAAAAACTGCTCCGTTGATTGGAGTTCGACGAATTTAGTAAACGTTATCACCACCCTCACTGTCGGCACGACTGGAATCGCCAACTGCAAAAAAATCCCACCAAACAAACAATTAAAAAGACAAACCCTTGTCTGAAAATCATAAATGAAACAATTAAACCTCTTCGATTTCAAGTCCTATATAATATAGCGACAATAATACTAAACATTGGTCCCACATTAGGCATATTATATATGAAACAGAAACCTCGGATGATGTGGGGGAATCACCGTTGGATCTGAAAACAGGGCCGTTTGGATAAGTCCACGTCAGGGAATCCGACCAAAGGGACAAGAGTTTACCCCATAAAAAAAGCAGCTTCACTAATCAGAGACCAAAGCAAAGCTGTGTAAAACTCAAAACGCAACACTTCCTTTCCTTTTTGTCATTGGTCAGGCCATCCTCGCATCAAAAGACCCAAAAGAAACACCCTCCTAAGGAGACAGATATTTAAGTGGACCCCACAACCAAAGCAGATTTTAACAAAATTGGCCAAATTTTCATATTGGTCCCTCTTCTATGTTCGAATTAACAATTTCGGTCAAAATTCTAACATGTTCAAGCAGTACCAAATTATGTCAAACTAAAATAGAGGGACTAAAGGATAAATTAACAAACCGCCGTCTTACCTTAACCGGAAACGTTCCCGGTGGGAATTTGGTAGTCAACAAATCTCGCATTCTTCGAACAGCTTTCACTTTGTTTGCCAAAATATCAAGTAAAGGTAACAAGTCTTCTGTTTTTAATGGGAATTGTTCCGTTAACCAAACAGATGGCCGCAAACTCCGAACGTACTCTTTCTCCTTCGTTTGCGGTGGCGGAATCACCGTTTTCACCGGGGCGAAAGACGTCGACCTTCTAGGAGGAACCGCCGCAGCGGAAGGGAAAACGTCGACACTCTTCCTCCCTACCGAAATCCACTCTCTCTCTTCTCTCACAAAGCTACTATGCCTTCTTCGATCAGGCATTGCGAAATTCGGGTTTTCGCATACCAAGAAACCGTCATCGTCTTCGTCGAGCTCTAAGGGTAACACTTGTTCACTTCCAGCGGCGTCGTTTTCGGAGCCCACCACTTTTCGAGACCGGAAGCTGAAAATCACGTTATGAAGTTCGTAAACTTTGGCTTTCCATTCACCGACGCTCTCTGTTTTCTCTTGGCGTCTCCAGTTCGTTCTTCCGACGAGTTCAGCTTTGGTTACGTCCATTCCGGGTCGGTACACACTTGTTTGGGAACAAAAACCGGCAACGTCGGATTCGTTCATCGGAGCCCCGGCATTTTCGAATGCGTCGAAGATTTTGTGATCGTCCCGGTTGAGGACTAGCAATGAACCGCAAGGGATGTTGTGGAGGCTATCGCCGTCGCCGAGGAAGAGAAAACTTTGATCGGCGCGTTGGATTTTTAAGCCGTTGAATCCAGCTAATGAAGTGTCTGCTCGAAGATTTCCGTCGCGTTTCCAGATCTTGTAGGTATCGGAAGGAGCAATTTTTCCAACGAACGGAATCACAGAGCTTTCAAAGTGGAAAGAGATTTCCATGTAGAAGTCCCGCATTCGGCGGAAGACGGCGATTACGCGAGGTAAACGGCGGCGCCACTTAGACCAAGCGGAACGGTGGTGGAGTTTCAATAAAACCAAAGCAATATCTGAGCTCCGGCGACAAAGCGCCTCCTGGAGAGGATTCCAACCCGCCGCGTTCTGGAGAGACACGTCAGCACCAGCCATAGCGAGTGTTTTGCCAGCAACGACGTCGTTTAAGCGGACAGCAAGGTGGAGAGGAGTTTCACGGAAAGGGACATCCCGGCGGTCGAGAACGGCGGAGATTTTCTCAGCTAATCGCTCTTGACTCAGTGATTCACACTCCGTGTGGATCTGAGCAGGGTCAGCTAGCTTTGGCAGAGTGGAAACTAATCGAGTCAAAGTGGCGTGATCACGCAGGACGACGGCGTAGTGAACAGGGCTATGCTTGAATTCCTCCGGTTTGATAGCTGAAAACGGCGCCGTTTCCGTTTCCATCGCCGACGATGGTCTCGACATAGTTTTTACGATCGAAAATTCTCTGGTCTTGTTTTTCTTCAGATCTTTGTTTGGATTGCGAAAGTGAAAATTGGGAAAATCAAATGGGACTGTATGTACGAATAATAGGAGGAGGAGGGCTACGGAAAAGGAAGAGGAGGGTAATTTGGTAATATCAGTAATAAATGTATGTTTTACGACCTAGGGCTGTATATTAGATCGAGTAGTCAAAGGTCAAAATATTTTCTAATTACTGAAACCGGTGCGTTCTATTTATATAACTTATACTTTCTTTAAAATAATTCAATTAAGTTGAGTTTATTAAATTTAAACAAGTTAAATTATTTAAATTTAATTATAAATATTTATAATGTTTTAATATTAATTAATTTTAACTTAAATGATTTTTATAATAATATATGATATATATATATATATGTTTATATTTTTATATAATATACACGTTGTATAAATTTGAATTTTAAAATTAATTTATTAACTATTAAATTTTTATTTTTATTTTTTAATTTATATTTTATTTAAATATTGAGTTAAGTTAAATTTATAAAATTATAAATTGAATTAAAATTATTGACATTAAATCAAATTAAAATATTGAAGTTCTCGATAGGCTGCCTACTAAAGATCGGCTTGTTCGGTTCGGCTTGGCTATTGATAATGTTTGTGGTCTGTGTGCCTCTAGTTCTGAATCTCGTGATCACCTTTTTGTTGAATGTTGTTTTGCAAAGGAAGTTTGGGATATTGTTCTAACTTCCTGTGGTGTTTGTTATACTCTGACCAACTGGGAGGATCTTTTCAATTGGCTGATAGCAAACTTGAAAGGCAAATCCCTCAGAATTCGAATCTTGAGGCTCGCTTGGACTGGTCTGCTGTATTCGGTCTGGGAAGAGCGTAATCACAGGCTCTTTAGACGCTCATCTCGCTCGGTTGATGCTCTTGTTAATAGTATAAAGTTAGCTGTTAGAATTAAGTTGAGTAGATATGGTAAGCCTAGGATTGATGATGTTAACAGGTAGTTATGTTTGAATTGGGGTTTGTTTTGAGGTAACTTGTTGATTGTAGTAGCATGTCTGTTTTTTCTTGATGGAATATAAATTACTTATCCAAAAAAAAATATTGAAGTTTTTTTTAATCAGATCCAATTTTATTGATTCCATGCAGAGTAGGATTAGGAGGGGGAATAGGGAGAAGGGAGAGGATGGTAGTATTTTAATCAGTTTTTATTAATATATGTATGTTATCGGTTTTGTTATTATTTTTTTAATAAAATTGGTAAAAATTATTTAAAATATTATTATTTATACTTAAAATATTAATATTTTTTAACATTTTCGATAAAGTATCAAATAAAAACAAAAATGGTAAAAAATAAAATATTAATAGTATTTTATCGAATATATTAACAAAACGGATAAAACGTCTAATAATTATAAACAGATAGAAATAATAATATTTTTAATATTTTTTACCAATTTTATTAAAATAATAATAAAATTAATAACATTTTTTAATTGTATATGAAGGTTATTCGCACGTGACACTTTCTTATGAAATTGAACTGTATCGGGTAGCGTGTAAAGGCAAAGGAAGAGAGGGACGAGATACACGCAATCGGGCACGGCTTTTGTTGATGCTTCAGACAGACAGGTTCAGTCTTAATACCCAACATCCCTTCTTTCTTTGTCTTTTCCACTTTTTTATTTTTTACTTATTTTATTTGTTATAAGAATTAGATTGATGTTTGATTCAATATTTTTAAAATTAATTTTTAATTCTAATATATATATATATATTAATTTCAAAAATTGATGAACCAAGTTAATTTAATTCAATTGTTTTTAATATTTCATTAAAAAAACAATGAATAGTAGGATGAAATGAAATTACTGGATTAAATGGTAAATCGAAGGTGGGTCCCATTGATGATAATCCACAAGATATAGATTGGTTAAATCTGTTTGCCTTCCATCAACCCAAATCCAACGGTTGTTTTGTATTGTGTTTTAAATGAGATCACGTGGCATAGGATTTGTATAGCCCTCTCCTGTGTTTCAGTGGGGGGAAAATCAAACGAAAACACCTTCTAATTTGGCTTTAGAATGTATAGAAGTTTGAAACAACGTCCCGTCAGCTCAATCATTTGTACAATAAAGACTTTAAAATCTTCTTCGTAATCCCTAACTCATAAATTCTCTTCAACTTATTATTGTTATTATTATTCCAACTCAAATTATAAAAACCATACTAAATAAAACTATTATTGTTGCTCTCATTTAAACTTCTTATTATACGCAAGTTAAATGGTTTTATAAATTAAGAACTTCTTTTATCTTTTGAAATTTTGAGTTCGAATATAATATCTATAAGAATCTTTAAAAATTTATTATCAAATGATTAAAAATATTTCATACTAATATTACTTCTTGTATTCACATCAAATTAATAAAAGAATTACATTACAAATTAAATAACGTAAGATAACTTAAAATTTATGTATCATATTTCAAATTAAATTAAAAAGATATTTCGATCTTCAATGCAAGATGAGTCAAATCTCCATGGATTAGTTTACAAGCTTCTTCACTTGTTTTTTTCATTATTATTCTATGTAAGGTATCCTCCGGAGGAGATGATAGCCGACGAACATCAAGTTCAGTTAAAGCCAAATCCAAGGAAATTATTGTTAGAAAAATTGCGCATTATTCCGAGAAAATATAGAAAACAATAATAAAATAAATCATTATAAAATATCAAAGGAAACAAAGGGATAGAACACGTTTACTCTTATCTTAAGATTGTTATCCGAAATAACAATGCTAGACGAAATCAATCCTGATAAAATAAACCAAAAGGTTAAATTTCTTAGAAGATAAAGATAAAAATAAATTGAAATAAAACTACTCCTTTTATTTTGATCTATCGATCGGAATTTTCAAGAGAGATTTAATACAATAGGATATCTTTTAATATTTAAATGTAAACATATAATAATATCTTTTAATTTGACATATTCAAAAGATAAAACTCCTTTTACCCTTCAAACTTAAACATATATTATTTTATTTTAAAATATATAAAAGTATATAATTATCTTTAATATTTAAAGTTAAAAATGTAACACATACTTTTTTAAATTGACATATTAAAAAGAGTAATTATCCTATTATATTCAAATTAAAAATTATCTTTTAATTTGCAATAGTTAAAATGAAAGTAAATTTAATATAAATATTAAATCTATCAATTAGATTCACTCTAGGATTGAGATCGATTTTGACTGTGAACACAACACAAACACCCACCGTACCTATCCTCAACACTCGAGTAGTGAGCACTCGCCTCACCCTCATTATTGCTACTGGAAGAAACCCTAACAAAATCTTTGTTAAACCGATGCTAGTAGCAATCAACTAAATCCCCCTAGTTTGCCACATAGTTGGCATTGCACGTGAGGGCGGTCACGACCTTTCCCATTACTCCCCTGTGCAAGATTTGCACTCATCGATAGATCTTCAACTTGAGCACCAAACCCTGCCAGTTAAGTTTCTGCATCAACAAGCATGCTACGGATGCGATCGAAGGAAAACAACTTCTTTATAGTTGTAATAACCGCTATAAAAGGTTGATACTCATGTGGCAACCATTTTAGAATGCTAGTTGTGTGCTCAACAACCGAGATGAAATTGCCACAATAGGCCAACGCATCAGTTACTTCCTTGACCCTCGTCAGGTAAGTCCTCATACTATCATTACCCTTCTTCAAAGACTATAACTTGTAATGTAAACTCATAAACCCTATAGCCGATCTGCTAGAGAAGAATTGCAAGACTTTATCCTATACATTAGCAGCTGTCTCCGCTCTAACGAACTAGGGAAGAAGATGGGGACTAACTGTTGATAACAACCAAGAAGCGAGAGTGTTATCTTGAGCAAGATATTCTTGATAGGCTTCGTTTGGCACCATCACACCATTCTCGTTAACAATAGTCACAGGCGTAGCTAACAACGAACCAGTTAACATACCTTCAAGACACTTCTAATAGTGAGTAAAGGCGCTCTGAGCCTCATCTATACAATGGTGGAGCACTGATTGGAATATGTTTTCAAGGACCTTTGAAATGATCTTGTAGATAACATTGCAAAGGCTTATAGGTCGGATATTTGATATATCTTTCGGATTAACGACTTTGGGAATTAGGACAACATGAGACCTGTTTACTTCATAAATATGAGATTGATCTTTCAGAGCATTAGAGCAAAAGGTCGAGACCTCCTTCCACGCTATATGTCAGAACTTTTGATAAAACACCGCTCCTAGACCATCGAGATCTAATGCCTTTAAAGGGTTCATAGACTTAACAGCCAATGTTATCTCCTCAAGAGTAACGGGCCTAATCAAGATATCATTCATTATAGGAGTGATGCAAGTTTTTACCTCATTAGTAGTTGACGCAGAGGGAAAGTTTCCCTAGGATGAGAAAAGATTAGTGAAATATCTCATAGCAATGTCACATAATTCTACCTCTTCTTCTCGGTAATTCCTCTGGTTGTCGTTGAGGCCCTTTATTGAATTTCTCCATCTACAAATAGAAGTAAAACTCTGGAAATAACCCGTATTACGGTCCCCATGCTTTAGCTAATCTGCTCTCGTTCTTTGCTATAAAAAAATCTCTTCCCGATCATCTTCGAGATTTAGAGCCAATTTTATGTCAATTATTTCGCTTAGAGTGTCATCAGAAACATGAGCTGCATTAAGCTGGTTAAGTATGAGTTTTAAGTTTTTTTCTTTAAGCTTCTTCTCCCTCTTGATATGACGAAACTACACCTCAAGGCCAGTGTTAACGAATTTCAACTTTTCTAGAAGGGAGCCCGTAGCCTTATTCCATATCTGACGAACCTCCTATTCACAAAAGTCCTCAGTGAGACAAACGGCTTCGAACCGAAAGTGTCAAGTCCTCTCTTTGGTGGGATCCGAGGCAATTGTGTTGAATAGAATATGACAATGGTCTGAAATTGAACGAGTCTGA